TCAGGTGCAACCGCAACAAACAAAAAACATGAACAAGAAAACATCTTAAAGTGACTATGTGTGACTGTGCAAACAGAAAATACAGGAAAAAAATATCAAAATATGCCTGAAATAGCACCGTACACCAACGCTGTGTGCAAAAATCCCAGTGGGATGCAAGTCAAATAACAACAACAACCACAAGACAACTAAGATTAAGGCCATCAGTCTAACTCCGTACTACAATAAACAAAAACATGGCCAAAACCAAAAAAACGTTTTCGAAATCACCAAAATAAAAGCCATGAAGGCAATGTAACAGTGATCATAGGGACTGTGACCGAATTTTTAACAATAAACTATATAAATTAATTATAACACCAAAATTTAGAGCCATATTTTAGGCCACTGAATAGCAGTGGCAGCTAGGGTTGTACAACTCCTATAGAGCAGTTTTGAGTGAAGATCTCATAGGTAGTGATTCAAGTTGCAGTTTATTGGCAATAGCATTCCAGACCCTGGGGGCATCAATAGCAAAGGCCCTTCCTCCAGTTTTTGTACGGCAATAGGGAATGTGAAGCTGGTAAATGAGCGAAGACCTGAGGTCAAATTTGTTCTTTGAAACAGAGAGGAGATCCAGTAGGTAGTCTGCGGAATTTTTTGTAAGTACATCGTGAATAAATAAGATCTGGTGCACAAGCCGTCGAACATTAAGAGATGTTAAGTTTGACCCAATGTAGAGGTCACAGTGGTGAGTCCTATATGGGCAGTTCAATGCAAATCTTAAGGCCGAGTGATAGATGGAATCAAGCTTCTTCAGTACAGTACTTGGGGCTGATTTATACACGATGTCACAGTAGTCAAGTAGAGGCAGTATGGTAGCTTTTATCAATTCCAAACGGAACATTTGGGAGAAGCAGTGCTTGTGTCGATACAGAAAACCAATTTTTATTTTTGTCTTTTTACCAATATAATCAATGTGATCTTCAAAACTAAGTTTTGAATCCAGGATGACCCCAAGATACTTATAGATCTTGACTTCCTCTATTTGATAATTATTCAAGGAATGTAATTGGGGAAAAATTACTTCCTGCTTTAGTCCCGGAGAGAAGCATAGCACCTTGGTTTTGGAGGTATTCAGGACTAGTTTAAGAGAAACCAGCTGATGTTGTAGTTTGTTGAAATCACCCTAGAGCTTAGCAATCACGTCATCCGGAGAGCGGCCAGCAGTAATCAGTATCGTGTAATCTGCAAAAAGATTTACCCTGGAATGATCCAGTTCAGTGCCCAAGTCATTGACATAAAGAGAGAACAAGAGGGGGCCGAGGATGGAACCCTGTGGAACCGCTTTTGTTATCTTAACACTGTTTGACCTCCAACCATCTGTGAATACAGTTTGGGTGTGTTGGTAATTACAAGCGCATGGGCTGCACAAAAATCTAGCAGCCTCCTACCGTTGTTATTGAGCTGATCTGGCCCATGCCCTCCAATCACTCCAGACCAGGTGCCAGCATCATGACCAACTCGGGCATTGAAGTCACCCAACATGATGACTCTATCCCGAGGGGCCACTTTAGCCAGCACCTGTGACAGGAGGTCATAGAAGGCATCTGACTCATCGGCTTTGCCTGCATCCCTCCACGGATGTTTGTCTTCGGTGGGGGCATAAGTAACCACGACCACCATTCCTCGCCTCCGGTTGATGGGAAGGCGAGCCCAAAGTAGCCTGGGGCTTACAGCTTCCCACACCTCACCGCCACACTCCCACGGCCCCTTCATTCTTTTGTTCAAAAGAAGAGCCACACCCTGTTGTTTGGCAGTCTGCTGCCCCGAGTAGAGGACTGTCCACCCCTCATGGTGGCAGGAGCCAGAACCGGTCCACCGGACCTCCTGAATGCCACATAGATCCAGGCGGTACCGGTCCAGCTCCCGACAGAGGAGTGGCAGCCTCTCCTCCGCAGTGAGCGTTCGGACATTCCACGTGGCCACCCATAGTGGTTTTTCGTTGTTTCTGGAAGAGCCCCGAAGGTAGATATTCAATTTGCTGGCTCCGCCAATTGGGGTTTGGCCAGGAGACGTCATAGACGCCTGGCCCCCCGGGGCCTCCGGCACAAGCATATTAGTTATATATTTCATTCGTAGTTTAGTAGTAATTAATTGAAGGTGGAGGGGTTACCAGCCCCTCGCACCCATCCAGAGCCCCCGTTTAGCCCCTGTGGTGGACACAGATGCCATGAGGGGAGGAGCCAATCGAAATTGGAACTCCCCCCACAGCACTGTCCACGACAGAGTTGCCCGTCCGGCACCGCGAGGAGTTAGGGGGTTGTTTTGCCACACACACACAGACACACACAGACACACACAACAACAACCGCCATTCACCATTAAGTGGCGGTGACGTCACCGCTACGCTTGTGCTTGGCCATGTGCACGTTGAGGCCACGTGAAATGTCGAACGCCCTCATTGCAGGTCAGGGGGCAGACCCAGGTGCCACGGGTCGACCGACTGAGATGATTGGCTGATGCACCACCTGTGCTCCCTACTATGCCAGTTTGCTGTGCTTTAGCCACCCGGCACACCACTCATTGTTGTAAGCATCGCTCCTCCGCCCTCCGTTGTTGCTGGAGGGCGACTGCTTCCAACTGCCCAGAGCATCCTTCACGAGTCTCCTCCGCAGAGGCCGATCTTGACACCGCTGGTACCAGTCATCGGCAAGTCCACTCAGCTGCACATCCTCCTGTACCACATCACTCCATCTCTACTCTAGCCTGTGCCGCGCCCGTTTAGCCCCCTCTATCTGGCCGAACAAAAGCTGTTTGGGCATGTGGTGGCTGGGCATGCTGGCTACATGTTCCAGCCAATGCAGCCTTGCCTGCCAGAGGAGCTCACCGATGAGACTGTGCCCAGATCTTTCAAGGATTTGTGAGCTCCTCACACAATCCAGCCTGGTTAAACCCAGGATGGATCGTAGGCAGGCCAGCCTAAATGTTTCTAATCGGCGAAGATGCTCCATTAGGGGGGTTCGCATTTCACGAGCTTAGAGATGGGAGGGAATAACCGTTGCCGAGAAGACCTGAAGCTTTGTGCGGAACAACAGACCAGGTAGCTTCCACACAGCGTTACGCAACTGATGAAAAGATATTGCCGCTCGACTGATTCGGAATGAGACCTCTGTTTTTAAACCGGAGCCGGTCATGAGCACACTGCCCAGGTATGGGAAACTCTCCACTCTCTCCACAACTGCCCCATCACCGATTGGGAGTTGTGGGGGTGGAGTGTCCGATGGTACAAAATACCCAGGCAGGTGCTTAGTTTTGGTGGGGCTGATGGTAAGGTCCCACCTCTTAGTGGCACGCTCCAGTCTCAGCAGCAGCGTCTCCAATTCCTCGTCTGAGTGAGCAGCAATTACCAGATCATCGGCATACATAACGTGGTTGAGTAATAGGGAGCCATCCCTTGACTGCACCCGGGCATCGATCAACCTCCCATTATATCTGTACTAAATGGAAATTCCTCCAGTACAGCTATTGAAGGCTTCACGAACTACGTGGTCAAAATAGATGTTAAATAATATGGGAGCCAGAGGACATCCCTGTCGCACCCCAAGGTGTACAGGGAATGGCTCTGACTCCCGGCCACGTAGTTTTACTCGGGCCCGCTCACCATCATGAAGATCCTTAATGATCGTGAGCAGAGGGTCATGAACTCTGAAAGCACAAAGAACAACCCAGAGCTCAGGCCTACTGATGGTATCATAGGCCTTTACCAAGTCGATAAAGCAGAGATGTAGGTCTTGTTGTAATTCCCTACACCTCTGCTGTAGCAGACGGACAGAAAATATGGCATCTGTGCAGGTCCGCCCTTTCCTGAAACCGCATTGGGGCTCCGCAAGCCTCTCCTCAGCGTGTCAGGCCAGGCAATGTTGAAAAATCCTTGCCAGGACCTTTTCCGGCACACTGAGAAATGAGATGCCCCTGTAGTTGTTACACTATGTGCGGTCCCTCTTCTTAAAAAGGGGGACCACCAGGGCATCCTTCCAATCCTTCCAGAACCCATCCAGTGGGCCAGCCTGTTGTTATGATGTCATGTAGGGCAGTCTGTGCACAAACACCACCCTCCCTCAGCATTTCGCTTGGGAGATCATCTCTGCCCGGTACCTTTCCTGGTCTCAAACTCTGGATTGCCTTCAGTACTTCCTCAACAGATGGCACCTCAGCCAGCCAATCACAGGGGGTGACTTCTTCCAATATTTGAGACACCGTAGCCTCTTTAGGGTCATCTCCACTTTGTTCCACGATGCTTACCAGAATAAGGGATTTCCCCTCCCCCAGGAACTCACAGAAATGCTCAGCAAATTTGCAAACCTGTTCCTGGGGGTCGGAGATTGGATCACCCTTCTTTGCTCAAATGATGGTAATAGGTGTGGCGCTGCAGGTAACTTTTTTGATGGAGTTAAAGAGTGATTGGTGATCACACACAACAACAACACAGACACACAGATAAACACAGAGACAGACACTCACAAAGACAAAGATCCCCCATATAGCCTTAACGGACTGTAGGGGCAAGTGCTGTTACCGAGCACCTATAAAGGCTGGCACGGCACACGAAGGGGGGGGTGGCCAACACCACGGCCGGCCACCTTTGTTTCCCTAGCAGCGATGTTTACACATCGCACCAGGTACTCATTTGAGGCTGAGTCGACCTAGGGGAGGCCCAGGACCGGTTCAGATAATCGTCACTGGTGTTTGCTGTGAGCGGAAATCGATCCCGTGTCGCCAGGTTCGTAGTGCAGCGAGCTAACCGCTACACTACCGCTCCCCACACAAACACACAGACACACACACAGAGACACACACAGACACACACATAGACACACATACACAGACACACACAGACACACACACACAGACAAACACACACACGGGGTGACGCTCATGGAACCGTGCGAAATGAAAACACAGCAACAACTCAAGGGGCCCCTTTTGCGATCTCGTGGTGTGCGCGGTGCGTTGCTCAGGACAAACGAACTGACGATGCCCATCGGATCATCATCATCATCATGATAAGAAGAAGAGGAAGTTGGTGGTTGGTGGCGGTGGTGGTCTCCGAACGGGGGAAGATGCTCGCGGCGGTGCTGGCGCTGTGCTGCTGTGCCAGATTGGTGGCTGCGGTAAGAGAAGGGGGGAGGGGTTGATGATCATGATAATGATGATGATGGTCACTGCTATGAGTAGGTGACCATCATCATCATTGAGGGCGCCACGGTGGCGAGAGAAATGTTAATCTCCTCTCCTGGTGTACAGGAGGTCGTGGCTTCGATCCCGTGACCCTGACAATGCTTGCTGTTGCTGTATATTTGAAGTCTGCGTCTCTCTCTCCCCGTGGTAGTCACTGCGTGGATTTTAGCCACATCTGGTAAGATAAAAGTAATTTTATTTTATAGATTTTAGTTTAGAACTCCTCGGCGGTTCCACAATCCAGTGGATATTTAAACAATAAACGAAACTACTTTTTAGTTTACCAGGTGGAAGGCCCCACTAGCCATGTAGCTCTTTATCAGAAGCGGTACCCAGTCATCACATTTAATGATAGCAGCTCAACCAAGTGGCTGATATCATCATCGTGTTGAAACGTATCACAGCAGTCAAACACTCTACCGTATAGAGATACACAGAGGCCCATAGAGATACATACAGACCCATTTGATACACAGAGACCCATAGAGATACATACATACCCATATAGATACATAGATACTGTATAGATACACAGAGACCCATATAGATGTTGTAGAGGAGTAAAATGGGGACGTGACGTCATGTGTACCATCCAGTGCGATAACGTCACGGAACGTGATGTCATGTGCGCTGGGCGGCTCGATGACGTCATGTCTTCTCTAGTATTTAAGGGGGACCCCGTGATGAAAGCGGGGTCACTGTGGGAATGGGTAGAGTAAGAAGGGTGGATAGGGAACCAGGGGTAGAGAGGGATCGAGTGGAGAGTCAGGAGTGAAGCCGGTGGTAGCCGCAGGAGGTGCTGCTCTTCCCGGTCGGTGGGGTTGGCAAATTCCTCCATCCGACTCGAGAGAGAGAGAGACCGGAGCTAGCCGGGCTGGACCAGGACTTAGTGTAGCACCCCTAACCCCTGGGAGTTGTCACACCCTTCGTGTATTGTAATAATTTCAATAAACCCTTGGCGACAGCCCTTACCTTCCAAGCCTTATCCGAGTCCTCGTCGGGAACTCTTCAACATAGATACACAGAGATCTATATAGATACATAGAGACCCATTTAGATACATAGAGACCCATATAGTTACAGTGAGCCATAGAGATACATAGAGACCCATATAGATACACAGAGATCCATATAGATACACAGAGACCCATATAGATACATAGGGACCCATATAATTACAGAGAGCCATAGAGATACACAGAGATCCATATAGATACACAGAGACCCATATAGATACATAGAGACCCATATAGATACATTGGGACCCATATAGATACATAGAGATCCATATAGTTACAGAGAGCCATAGAGATACATAGAGACCCATGTAGATACACAGAGATCCATATAGATACACAGAGACCCATATAGATACACAGAGATCCATATATATACATGGAGACCCATATAGACCCATAGGAACCCATATAGATACATAGTGATCCATATAGATACATAGAGACCCATATAGATGCATAGAGACCCAGAGACCCACAGAAACCCACAGGGACCCACAGAGATCCAGAGACTCATCGTTGTCGTCAGTCCCTCGGGGTTTGAGGATGACGTCCATCAGGGTTTGTTGGTGGCTCAGGAGTCAAATTCTGGATCCGCAGATCTTTGGGCATTGAGGACACCGCGGTGGCGGTCCCAGCTGGAAGTGGAAATCCGCGGTGCCAGGTCGGCTTCCTCTTCCTTTCTTCTTTGGCGGCGATCCGCTTCGCCACTGAGACTTTTGGTCTCCGAGTGGAGCCCGCGGGCTGGTGGTGGATGCAGCGGCGCCACCCTTAGGAGGTTGGCAGCCCGCTGCTCCTGCCAGAATCGAGGGATCATTTTTCTGCGCTTCAGGGAGGACGCTGAGGGCATCCTTGAAACCGCTGCCTTTGTCCTCCCCTCATCCGCTGACCATCGGAGAGCCTTCGGAGAAAAGGATCTGGCCCGGGTGAAGGCGCTTCTCAGGCGTGCGGATGCAGTGGCCGGTCTGTCAAAGTTGTTTTGTTGTTGTTGTTGCTTCAATGCCGGTGGTGTCAGCTTGGAAGAGGACACTCGCTTCGGTGCAGTGATCCTGCCACTCGATTCCCTGGAATTGGCGAAGGCAGCGCTGATGGAGGCGCTCGAGTGCAGTGACGTGGCCCCCGGTAGCGTGTCCACGTTTCGCCGCAGTATGAAGGAGCGTCGGGACGACGACGGCCCTCGGTAAATGTGGAGCTTTTTTGTCCTGCGGAGATCTTTGTCATTGAAGATGGCGCAGTTTGTAGAAGGTGGCGCTGTCACCCTGGACTCTGCGTTGGATCTCCTCGTCGACGAGAGATGACTACCGCTGTGAGAGAATTACTCCACGTATTGAAATGCCTCTCCATCGATAGTTGGGGGGGGGGGGGTTGTTTGGCTTGTTGTTGGATGGCGGTTCGTGGAGGACCTTGGTTTTGGTGATGTTCCAGGTCAAGCCAAGTCTCTTGTATGCAGAGTTGAATACATGGAGGGTCGTCTGGATGTCCCACGCAGAGTGAGCCACCACGCAGAAGTCGTCCGCCAGCTGCACGTCGCGGATGTCCTTTGTGAGTCAGCTTCTTCTTTGCCCGAGAACATCCGAGGTTGGAGAGCTTCCTGTCCAGATGGTAGCGGATGCTGATTCCAGATGGAAGGTTTACCGGATGCTGACGCAAGATGGAAGATTTACCAGATGCTGACACCAGAGAGAAGGTTTACTGGATGCTGACGCCAGATGGAAGGTTTACCGGATGCTGACGCCAGATGGAAGGTTTACCGGATGCTGACACCAGATGGAAGGTTTACCGGATGCTGACGCCAGATGGAAGGTTTACTGGATGCTGACACCAGATGGAAGGTTTACCGGATGCTGACGCCAGATGGAAGGTTTACCGGATGCTGACACCAGATGGAAGGTTTACCGGATGCTGACACCAGATGGAAGGTTTACCAGATGCTGATGCCAGATGGAAGGCCACCGTCGACAAGGAGGGTGACCATGGCCGTATATAGGTGGTGAATGAGGTGGGGGTGATCATGCAACGCTGTCTGACACCCGTTCGAATTTGAAAGGCGTCCGCATCAGATCCCCCACTCGGTACAGTGGCAGTCGAAGACGGCGGAGGATACTCCAAAGGGCTTCCCGGTTGAGGGAGTCAAGTGCATTCGTTAGGTCGATGAATGCCGAGAACAGTTCTTGACGCCGCTCGTGACACTTATTTTTAATCTGTCGGGCCGCGAAAACCAAATCTGCAGTGCCCTGGGATGTTCAGAATCCGCTCCGTGCCTCCGACAGGACCTTCTCAGCAAACAGGACTCAGGCGATTGACCAGCATGCGGGCCAGGCTCTGTCCTGCAATGGACAACTGGGAGATCCCCCCCTGTAGTTTCCACATCGAGACTTGTCACCCCTTCTTGAAGATTGTTACGACGGCCGCCGGGGAGGTCTTCTTCGTGCCAGATCCGGATGGATCAGCTTGTGGAGCCTTGAAGTGAGCAGTTGGCTGCCAACTTTGAAGACTTCAGCTGGGATGCCGTCCGGACTGCATGCTCCTTTGGACTTCGTCTGCTTGATGGCCACGCCCCAGCTCACCAGCAAGTGGTGGCTCGCTGAGGTGGTGCTCTGTGGGATGTTGCGGTAACGGCTCGGAGGGTTTCCCTGTTCGAAACTGCTCTTTGCAGCATTTGATGGATTGCATGTGTCTGTGTGTGTGTCTGTATCTGTATGTGAGCGGTAGTGTAGCGGTTAGCGCTGCGCTATGAACCTGGCGACCCGGGTTCGATTCCCACTCACGGCCAGCACCAGTGACGATTATCTGAACCCGTCGCGGGCCTCCCCTACGTCGACTCAGCCTCAAATGAGTACCTGGTATAGTGTAATAAGCATAGCCACTTGGGAGACAAAGGCGGTCGGGCGTGGTGCTGGCCACCCACCCCTCGTGTGCCACAATGCCGGTAGCCTTCATAGGTGCTGCTGCTCGCTAACAGCACTTGCCCCAACAGTCCTGTTACAGACTACATGGGGGATCTTCTTCTTTGTTTTTGCTTTAATGACGACAATGATGGAGTGTGACGACCTCATAACAACAAAGTTACATACTCACGTAAAGGTCTAATACAATGCACCCCTTTCCTGCCACCCACAGACACCAACAGAGTCTCCGTGTCTTCATGGATTCCACCACGTGGAAAAAACTGACCTTTGCTGTGAGCTGTGCAAGCCAGGTAAGGGCAGAGCCAAAAACGAAATAGTGCAGTCACGGCATTAAAGTAATCAGCGCTGTCATAGACCAAAAAAAGTTGCCGTTTTTGAGGCGTGCATTTGTGGACAACGGTGGCTAGGGAGATGTTGACCACCTCGCCTAGTGTGCAGGAAGTAGTGGGTTCGATTCCGTGCCCCTGGCAATGCGCTGCTGCTGTGTATTTGGAGCCACCGTCTCTCTCTCATCATGACCACGGTGGCTAGGAGATGTTAACTACCTCGCCTTGTATACAGGAGGTTGTGGCTTCGATTCCCTGACCCTGACGATGCATTGCTGCTGTGTATTTGGTGTCTGTGATCATGATGATGTTTGTTTGTTTTGCACCTCTCGTCTCTTGCAGGGCAATACTTGATAAATGAATGCACGGAAAACAAAGGCCCCTCGACCTGTGGGGACTGTCCTAACGGATTCTACACGGCCGTAGCAAACTACCTATCAGGATGTTTGAAATGCAAGCCCTGTGAAAAAAGTAACAACCACTTCCCTTGTGTCTTTATCAATTAGAATTGGCGTTCCTCTAAATGTCTGATTTAATTATACGGAAGCGTATACTAGTGTAGTGTGTTGTAGTGTGTAGTAGTGTAGTGTCTATCAGTGTGTCGTAGTTTATAGTAGTGTAATGTGTAGTAGTGTAGTGTATAGTGGTGTAGTGTATAGTAGTGTAGTGTGTAGTAGTGTAGTGTGTAGTAGTGTATAGTAGTGTAGTGTGTAGTAATGTATAGTAGTGTATAACAGTATAGTGTATAGTAGTGTAGTGGTGTTGTGTATAGTAGTGTAGTGTATAGTAGTGTAGTGTATAGTGGTTTAGTGTATGGTGTAGTTTATAGTGTAGTGTATAGTGCAGTGTATAGATTAGTGAATAGTGTAGTGTATGGTGCAGTGTAGTGTCGTGTATAGTAGTGGATGGTGTACTATATCACAGTAACATCGCCACCTCCACGCCCACATGGAGGCCGCTCTCCAATCTTACATTAACATGCAAATTTCTCACATTAACATAACTAGCCCTGCCCAATTCTAGATTTGAAGCTTTCGTGACTGCAAGGATCCATACTCTTTGGTTCTATTCGGTAAAGTCACGTAGGTAAAAAAGTAAAACAACAAAAATCACGACGTTTCGGCCACAACACAAGCGGCCTTCATCAGGTGAAGGGACCAGACTGTCTCGAAGACTGCGCTGGAGTGAAACAGAGCCAAGCTCAGACCACGGCCTTTAAGCTGTGTGAGAGGGATTAAAGTGCCTTGACAAAGGAATTAGCATAAAAAATTAGCATTTAATTGGCGGACTTAGCATGATGAAAGGTGTAGAGAGGGTAAACATGCGGGTGCACATGCACCTGCATGTGCTGCGAAAGTTTGGGGTACCACTACTTGAAAAAATATACTGTACCATTGAAAATTAGTTTAATGTTTGGTTCGATTTAGAACATCTTTCCAATGGTTGCTTAATTTGAAACCATCTTCTCGGTTGAAATTGTGTCTGTGTTTGTAGATCTGAATTGCCTCGTGAACAAATCTCTGATAAAAACCCGTGGGTTTGCAAAGAACCTTGGTATCGGAGAAAATTATATCGTGATCACCCACAGCATTGTAACAGTGATCAGCTACGGCAGAAGAATTGGCGGACTTAGCATGCATGTGCACCCGCATGTTCACCCTCTCTACACCTTTCATCATGCTAAGTCCGCCAATTAAATGCTAATTTTTTATGCTAATTCCTTTGTCAAGGCACCTTAATCCCTCTCACACAGCTTAAAGGCCGTGGTCTGAGCTTGGCTCTGTTTCACTCCAGCGCAGTCTTCGAGACAGTCTGGTCCCTTCACCTGATGAAGGCCGCTTGTGTTGTGGCCGAAACGTCGTGATTTTTGTTTTATTTTTTTACCTACGTGACTTTACCGAATAGAACCAAAGATTATAGCCCCGCCCACTTCGTTTATGACCCTTGGGCTACACCCATTTTGAACTTTTTCAAACAGTCTGCCTCAGCAGCTGTCCCCCTCTCTTTTCTTCCTGATGATGAACGCTTTTGTTGCGATCGAAACGTCGTGATATACTATTTGTATTTTATTTTTCTACCTATGTGACTTTACCGAAATAACCAAAGAGTATGGATTCCTGCAGTTACGAAAGCTTCAAATCAAGATTGTTAAAACCCCATAATACAGGTTTTTTTTGGGTTGTTCCTCTCACACAGCTTAAAAGCCGTGATCTGAACGTGGCTCTCTCACTCCAGCGCTGTCCTACCAGACAGTCTCGCCCCCTTCACCTGATGAAGGCTGCTTGTGTTGTGGCCGAAACGTCGTGAGAATATTATTGTGTTATTTTATTTTATCAATTTATTATTTTATTCTCATTCTACGTGACTTTACCGAAAGAACCAAAGAAGATGAATCATTGCAGTCACGAAAGCTTTAAATCGAAATTAGATCATGCAATTATATAATTGTCGTTAAACCTGCCACTACCAGACACAGCCAATTAGTAAGGTTTTTTACATAAACAGAACGTGCCAATTCGTTACTAGTACAGCACTAGTGTATGGTGTGGTGTATAGTAGTGTAGTGTATACTGTAGTGTATAGTAGTGTAGTGTATAGTAGTGTAGTGTATAGTAGTGTTATTAGTGTAGTGTATAGTAATGTAGTGTATAGCAGTGTAGTGTATAGTGTAGTGTATAGTAGTGTTATTAGTGTAGTGTATAGTGTGGTGTATAGTAGTTTAATGTATAGTGTGTGTAGTGTATAGTAGTGTATAGTAGTATAGTGTAGTGTGCTAGAACAGTATACCGTTGTGTTTTAGAGCCAAGCCACAACATTTACAATCTCAGTACCATGACATATAACGAGTAATTACAACCAGCTTCATCAGGCAAGAGCCAGATTTGTGGAGAAGTCCTCCTGTCTCGTTCCTGAAATAGAAGTGTAGATGTGATGAACTGCGTATGGTATAACCTGCGAGTTGTTATCTCCTTCGCCTGGTATGCAGGAGGTCGTGGGTTTGATCCCGTGGCCCTGATGACGCCTGCTGCAGTATATTTTCCGTCTGCGTCTCTCTCACTGTGGTGGTCACCACATGGATTTTTTTGTTTTTTCCCACCGTGTTTTCCTGCACAGATGAGGAAATTGTCCAGCCTTGCACCGGGAGCTCCAACACGCTGTGCCGATGTAAAGACGGCTTCCACAAAGTAGACGAGTTCTGCACACGAGTTCCAAGCAATGCAACGCAAACTCCGACCGGTGCACCCAGCGGTAAAACGAACGCAGGCTGAGGTCCCCATGCTCAAGGTGGTTTAGTTAGATGTTGAGTACATCGCCTGGTGTGCATGAGGTCGTGGGCTTGATCCCCAACCCTGATGCCTCTTGCCACGGTGTTAGTGTGATGCTAGCGCTTCTGATGATCACAGATGACTAAGAACGTTGCAAAATAAGTTCAACACACATACATACACAGAGACCCAAAGACACCAATAGAACCACAGATACCCACACAGACACCCATAGAGACACCCATAGAGACCCACATATCACCACAGTCAGCTACGTACGGTGCGAAAGAAGTTCACCGCACATACACACATACACCTCCGATTAGCACGGTCGGCTACGTGCGGTGCGAAAGCGGTTTCGGCGTTAATTTAAATTTCCGAGAGAGGGTTGGATAGTAGCAGCAGAAGCAGCCCTTGTTTTGTTATGAAGACGTCGTTACTCACCGCACACACAGAGAGAAACGCAGCGACATGAACCGGCTGCAGCACGCTGTCTCTCTACGATGGCTGGCACCAAAAACTGTGCCGCATGCACGCACCCACACACGCTCCGCTCTCCCACGAGACCTCACATGTGGGGAGCCTCGGCACTTGACGATGCACCGACAAAAGTAATATTTACATTTTTTGTTTTTTCACTTCTGGTTTCCATTTCCGATGACGTACACACACACACACACACACGCATGCGCGCATCGCGATGTACACCACGTCATGTCACGTGCATAACTAGAAATGGAACAGGAAGGCAAACTGATGATGTACACCACATCACGTACGTCATCGTAAACTAAACGGAATTGGGAGACAAACTTATGACGTACATTCACGTATGTGCGTCATCAGACATATCGGAACGGGAAGACAAACCGATGGACGTACACACACCACGTCACATACGGGAGATGTTATTGTTGCTGCATTGAGTTTCACCGATTGGCCGACCCGATGACACGGCTTCGGCACATTTAACTTTTGCAGCGGCCCCTAGATGATACGTACAGACAAAGATCACCTGTGTAGCCTATAACACACTGTAGGGGCAAGTGCTGTTAGTAGCAAGTGACAGCAGCACCTATGAAGGCCGGCACTGTGGTACACAAGGGTGTGGGTGGCCAGCAGCACGTCCGGCCGCCTTTGTCTCCCTAGTGGCGATGTTTACTACACACCGCACTAGGTACTAATTCGAGGTTGAGTCGACCTAGGGGAGGCCCAGGCCCAGTTCAGATCATCGTCACTGGTGTTGGCCGTAAGCTGGAATCGAACCCAGGTCATTGGGTTCATAGCGCAGCGCGCTAACCGCTACACTACCGCCCGCTGTCAGGAGGTCACGGGGCAGACCCAGCAGGTGCCACGGGTTGAATGACTGAGATGACTGGCTGATGCACCACCTGTGCCCCCTACTGTGCCAACCTACTGTGCTTTAGCCACCCGGCGCTCTGCTCGTTGTTGTGAGCGTCGCTCCTCTGCCCTCAGTTGTTGCTGACGGGTGACTGCCTCCAACTGCCCAGTAGCATCCTTTACAAGCTTGCTCCACAGAGGCCGATCTTGACACCCCTTGTACTAGTAATTGGCAAGCCTACTTAGCTCCACATCGTCTTGTACCATATCACTCCATCTCTTGTCTAGCTCATGCCGTGCCCAGTTAGCTCCCTCTATCCGGCCGAACAAAAGCTCTTTAGGCATGCGGTGGCTGGGCATACGGGCTACATGACCCAGCCAATGCAGCCTTGCCTGCCGGAGGAGATCACTGATGGGAATGTTTTCCAGATCTTTCAAGGATATGTGAGCTCCTCACACAATCCAGCCTGATTAAACCCAGGATGGATTGCAGGCAGGCCAGCCTGAATGTTTCTAACTGGCGCAGATGTTCCATTAGAGGGGTCCACGTTTCACAAGCAGATTGAAGACCCAAAGCTTTGTGTGGAGCGACAGACCAGGTAGCTTCCACACAGCATTGTGCAGCCGATGAAAAGATAATGCCGGCCAGCTGATTCGGAGTGAGACCTCTGCTGTGTAAACAGGAGCTGGTCATAAGCATACTGCCCAGACATGGTCAACTCTCCACTCTTTCCACAACTTATTCATCACCCAAAATACCCATGCTTAGTTTTGGTGGGACTGATGGTAAGACCCCACCTCTTAGTGGCACACTTCAGGTTCAGCAGCAGCAGCAGCACCTCCAACTCCTCCTCTGAGTGAGCAGCAATCACCAGATCAACAACATACATAGACACATACAGAGAAACACACAGACACAGAGAGACAGCGACACACCCAGACACACACACAAAACCCTGTGTGCGTCTCTTTTCAAACAGGAGGAGGCAAGACAGCGGGCATTGTGTTGACCGTGGTTCTGCTGCTTCTGATTGTCGCTGCTGGCGCTGCTGCGTTCATCCACAAGAAGAAGGGTGGAAGATTTCCATGCGGTAAAGTAGCGAGCATTTTCACTTTGGCGTGCACCTGTAAACTAGAATATTTATTTAGTTATATACTGGAGGAGGAGGAAATCCCAAGAGTTACGAAGCTCTTTATTCACTCATGGTCCAGTAAGGGGGCGTGAGGTCATAAAGTTCAGAATCAGAGTCTTTATTTATATTGATACACCTGGAGGAAATCTGATGATCTATGAAGCTCTTCTGTTCCCACAGATGGCGCCAGTAAGTTTTTCACCAGACCAGGTGAAAGCGTGACAGAATATGACCATCACTGGACTTGCACTCCGGAGAGAGTGGCGCTTTACTCAATAGGGGAGACAGTTTATTAAATAGCCGCTAAAGCCGCCTTCAGTTTAACGCGTATTAGGGCTTTCATGCGAACCAATATCATTCATTGTAAAGGTTTCTTTTGGGTTAGATTCATAATGAAGTACGAAATTAAAAAGTATTTGATTCTACCAGGTAAGGGCCTACTGAGCTATGTAGCTTGTTTGCAGAAGCGACCTGGCTATCACAAATGATAGCTCAACAAAGTGGCTCACCTTCACGTTGGAAATGTACAGCAGCCGAATACTCTTATGAATGCCTGCTGATTTGTATGCATATCCGTGCAATATTTTCATGAAGTTGTTGTATGTAGTGTATAATGCACTGTATGTAATATTTAACAATGGAATCAAGCGTAGCTACTTTGTCACTCACGTGGTGCCGATCACCTGACTGGTTACAGCCTTTGGAGCGGTTTCGCCGGATCGGCCCGGGGTCGCCGGATAAAATTTGTAAGCCAGTTTAATTGCGCGCTGGATAATCGATGATCAACTGTAATGTTAAGCAAACTCTTTGGTTCTATTGGGTAAAGTCACGTAGGTGAAAATAAAATAACAAAAAATCACGACGTTTCGGCCACAACACAAGCGGCCTTCATCAGGTGAAGGGACGAGACTGTCTGGAGGACAGCGCTGGAGTGAAAAAAGCCACGCTCAGATCACGACCTTTAAGCTGTGTGAGCAAAAACAAAGCGCCTTGACAAAGGAATTAGCATATAATTTAGCATTGAAATGGCTCATTGAAATAGCTAAGTTAAAGTATACACATCCGCAGAGGCACCCCTTGACAAAGGAATTAGCATCGAATTTAGCATTGAAATAGCTGAGTGATTAGCTTGTAACTGGTCACAGAAATAGCTATGTTAAAGTCAGAGCATATACATTCACCGAGGCACCTAGTACAAATCAAACAGGAGAATTTAGCGAAACACAACCACGCTCAGACATCGGACCTTTAAACTGTGTGCGATCAAACAAGGTGTCCTGACAAAGAAATTAGCATAAAAATTAGCATTTGATTGGCCGATTTTAAAAAAGAGGTGGTGTACGTGCCGGTGGACTTGCCGTTTGGCGCGGGGGGGGGGGGGGAGGGGAGGGGGAGTTTACCTATTGATGGTGTGAAAAGGGAATTTATAAGAGCTGCGAAAGTTTGGGGTACCACTACTTGAAAAAAATATACTGTACCATTGAAATGAGTTTAATGTTTAGTTCGATTTAGAACATCTTTCCAATGGTTGCTTAATTTGAAACCATCTTCTCGGTTGAAATTGTGTCTGTGTTTGTAGATCTGAATTGCCTCGTGAACAAATCTCTGATAAAAGCCCGTGGGTTTGCAAAGAACCTTGGTATCAGAGAAAATTATGTCGTGATCACCCACAGTGTTGTAACAGTGATCAGCCACGGCAGAATAATTATTTTTGCCGTGTTTCAAATCTGATTTGTGCTCGCGAATTCGGTCAGAGACATGTCGCTTTGTCTCCCCGATATAGCAATCACCGCAGGTACAACTCAATTTGTAAACCCCGGGGTACTGTAAGTCAGGAATGACATCCTTCACGGATGGGATCAGATCACGAATTTTGTGTACTGTATTGAACCGGACCTGGATCTTATGTTTGTTTAGAATTTTGGAAATCTTTTTAGTAACTCCTGCTATATATGGAAGTGTGATGGTTTTGACCGGAGTATCAAGTGGTTGTTTCTGTATGAAGGGAGAAACAGCTTGGCGGATGGTACGGTCAGAGGAACCATTCCTTTTGAGGGCCAGGTGTACATGTTTTAATTCACTGGTCAGGTGGTGTTGGTCCGAAATGCAATGAGCCCTTTGGTATAAAGTTTTGATGAGAGAATTGGGTAAAGTAACCTACGTGACTTTACTCAATAGAACCAAAGAGTATGGATCCTAGCAGTCACGAAAGCTATAAATCTAGAATGTTAAGCAAAGCCAAGTCTGAGGACTTGCCCCACACATAAGCGGGCGTCGCTGATTGGCTGAGGGTGAAATTTTAACTCCCTCACCTGGTATATAGGAAGTCGTGAGTTTGATTCTGACCCTGACGCCCGCTGTATATTTGGAGTTTGCGTCTCTCCCTCTGCCCGTGGTAGTAGCGTGGATTTTTCCTCCGCGTCCTCCGATTTTTACCCTCCACATTTAGAATCAACGTCACGCATTTAAGAGTATTTGGCTGCTGCTATACATATCACCGCGATGATGATGATGGTAATCAGCCACTTTGTTGAGCCTCTGTCATTTGTGATGGCCAGGTCGCTTCTTAAAAATAGCTACATAGCTAAGTGGGGTCTTACCTGGTAAAATAAGAAATAGTTTATTTTTTGTAAATATGAAGTATGCCAAAGATCCTTGGTAGAGTGAATGGGCAATATCAGGGTTGCACACCCTTTTTTAACATTTTGCCTGCATTCATTTGATTTTTTTCTCTCTTTCAACCTCCAGAAGGAGAGCCTGGTAACTATAGTCAGCAAGAATCGACTGCATTGGGCCTGCTTAATGGTAATACACACAACCCTGAGGCTGGACCTTCTGCACCTTCTACAGGTCAAGATGAACAGCAAATCACGCAGATTGATTCCTGCGTGTACACCACCTTGCTTTGGGGGCCACGGCTGACATTCAACAGCAACCTCTCCACGCTGAGGCAGCGCAGGTTGGCAAAGGTGGTGAGGAAAGGAAAACAGGGAACAACGTTTGATTTTTAGGCACGTCGACCTCCAGCCGCGCACAATGCCTAACAGCGGCCATGATTGTCGCTTGTGGTGGAGGAGAGGGCTCGGGAAGGACGCTGCTGCTGCTGGGCAGTGCCAGGATAGTTGCACAGTTGAGGACGCTTACTTTCGGGGGGACAAGTTGGGAGGGCAAGTCGGCCTCCAGCAGCAACAACAAAGATCCCCTGTATAGCCTTAACAGACTGTAGGGGCAAGTGCTGTTAGCGAGCACCTATAAAGGCTGGCACGGCACATGAGGGGGTGGTTGGCCAACACCACGCCCGGCCGCCTTTGTCTCCCCAGTGGCGATGTTTACACATCGCACCAGGTACTCATTTGAGGCTGAGTCGACCTAGGGGAGGCCCAGGACCGGTTCAGATAGTCGTCACTGATGTTGGCCATGAGCAGGAATCGAACCCGGGTCGCCAGGTTTGTAGTGCAGCGCGCTAACCGCTACACTACCACTTCCCACATAATAACGGAGGGCAGAGGAGGGACGCTGCTCATGACAATGAGCGGAGCGCCCAGGTGCATTAAACGCAGTGAGTTGGAGCAGTAGGGGGCAAAGGTAGTGGTGGTCCAACAACTGATAACAACAACAACCGCCATTCCCCACTAAGTGGCGGTGACGTCACCACAGTGCTTGTGCCAGGCTATGTGCACTTTAAGGCAACGTGAAGTGTCGAATGCCTGCTGGCAGGTCACAGGACAGACCCAGGTGCCATGGGTTGACTGACTGAGATGACTGGCCGATGCACCACTTGTGCCCCCTACTGTGCCAACTTTTGTTTTAGCTGCATGGCTCTCCGCTCGTTATTGTGAGCGTTTATCCTCTACCCTTCGTCGTTGCTGGAAGGCGACTGCCTCCAACTGCCCAGTAGCAGCATCCTTCATGAGCCTTCTCCACGGACGCCAATTTTTACACCGCTGGTACCACTAAACGGCAAATCCCCTCAGCACCACATCCCCTTTTACCACAGAATTCCATCTCTTCCCTAGACCATGCCACGCACATTTAGACTCCTCTATCTGGCTGAACAAAAGCTGTTTGGGCATGTCATGGCTGGGCATGTTGGCTACATGACCGATCTCTTATTGGTTCACTCCAGGCTCAGTAGCAGCAGCTCCATCTCCTCCTCTGAGTGAGAAGCAATCACCACATTATCAGCATACGTAACATGATTGATCAATCGGGAGTCATTCCTCGACCGCACATGGGCATCAATCAGCCTCTCATTGTATCTGTACCAGATATATATTCCTCTGGTACAGCCATGGAAGACTTCGCGAGCTACGTGGTCGAAAAAGATGTTAAATAATGTTGGAGTCAGAGAACATCTTTGTCGCACCCCAAGGTGACCAGAGAATATCTCTGACTACTGGCCACCATCATGAAGGTCCTTAATGATTGAGAGCAGAGAGTCAGGGACTCAGATAGCATGAAGAACAACCCAGAGCCCAGGCTTATTGATGGGTTCATAGGCCTTGACCAGGTAAATAAAGCAGAGATGTAGGTCTTGTTGGAATTCCCTACACCTCTGCTGTAGCAGACGGAGAGAAAATATGTCATCACAAGCGATCGTCATCCTGATGACGATCGCTTGTGTTGTGATCAAAACGTCGTAGTATTTTGTTCAGTTTATTCTTATTAATTGGAACCTATATACGTGACTTTACCGAACGACCCAACGAATAGGGGTTGACTACTTCTTCCAGTATTTGAGGCATGGCAGCCTCAGCAGGATCATCCCCGTTTTACAGCATGATGTCTTCCAGGCTGAGGGATTTCCCCTCCCCCACGACCTCACAGAAATGCTAAAAGAATCTGGAAATATATTTCTGGGGGTCGGAGATTGGATCACATTTCTTTCCTTTAAGGATGGTCATAGCTGTGGTGATGCAAGTTACTTTTTTGATGGCATTAAAGAGTGATTTGTGATCTTTAGACTTAAAATTTTCGTGACTACAGGAATTCATATTCTTGGTTCTTTCGGTAAAGTCACGTAGATAGAAAACAAAAATCTAAATTAAAGCAAAAAACCCACGACATTTCGATCGCAACACAAGCGGTCTTCTTCAGAAGATGACGATCGTTCAAAGCTTTCATGACTGCAGGAATTCATATTCTTCAAAAGACCGCTTGTGATTGCTTGTGTTGCGATCGAAACGTCGTGGGATTTTTTTGCTTAAATTTTTACTTTGGTTTTCTATCTAAGTGATTTTACCGAAAGAACCAAGAACATGGTTTGTGATCGCGGCCTACTGTGGCTGACTCCATCTCCTAAGCAGCCCATGACCACAACCCATCCTTGCAGTACCGCATGCCTCTCCGAACCTCTGAGCGATAAGCCTCCTCATTCTCTGATGTGGGATGCGGTAGCTGGTAGGAGTGGGCCTGTTCACTTTTTCTTAGCCAGTCAGAACACCTTCTCCATCAGCCAGGGTCTCTTGGGAGATTTGGACCATGTACCCAAAGCAACCACTGCAGCTGCATGAGCTACAGCAACTTCCCCTCGACATCAGGATGAGTGGGGGACGATGCAAACTCCAGCTGCAAGCAATGATAACATTTGCGCTTGCAACTTTCATCAGCTAGCTGAGACCAGGCCGCCGTTGGTTTCAATGGTGTCCTAGATGGACACCCACCAATGGAGTGGAAGAATGGCAGGCACATCTGACAAGCTGATGGTCAGTGGGCATATCAGCTCCATGGTAGGACCTGGTGTCAAGGACATGGGCCCGCATCCGCTGTTCCATCGCTATAGAGTTCAGCAAATGTTCTTGCTTGGAAACAGCATGCATCCATGATGTTGTGTGGATGCGCTGATGTTGGAACAGCGTGTTGGTATGAGAATAGGTTTCCCCTTTTTTCTGGCAACAAAACTGGTGTTAAGATGTTGAAACACCAAACTGAAGCCTTTTACAATAAATAATGTCTGCAGTAACCACAATACTTGTGGTCAGAATGCAAACAAAAAACGAACTCTGATAATATATGCATTGTCCTTGAAACTGATTGTTCCACACTAGAGATGGCTTTCTTTTGAGCCTCGACCCAATTGGTGCTAGACCAGAGGACGCCAAAAGGCGTACAGCTCAAAGACAATGCACTATCAAAGTTTTGTTGCCAGAAAGCTGTCTCTGGTGGGGACCAATCAGTTTCCAAGACAATGCATATATTATCAGAGTACGTTTTTTGTTTGCATTCTGACCACAAGTTTTGTGGTTACTGCAGACATGATTTCTTGTAAAAGGTTTAAGTTAGGTGTTTTAACATCTTAACACCTGTTTTGTTGCCAGGAGAAAGGGGAAAACCTATTCTCATATTTTGGTACTGGCAAAGGAGGTCCCACAGCGTGCTGGTAATTACAAGCCCATGGGCTGCACAAAAGTCTAGCAGCCTGCTACTATTGTTATTGAGCTGATCTGGCCCATGCCTTCCAATCACACCAGACCAGGTGCCAGCATCATGACCCTCTCGGGCATTAAAGCCATCCAACAAGATGACTCTATCCTGAGGGGCCACTATAGCTAGCACCTGTCATAGGGGGTCATAAAAGACATGTGACTCATCAGCATCGCCTGCATCCCTTCACTGATATTCATCTTTGGGGGGGCATAAGTAACCACGACCACCACTCCTCGCCTCCGGTTGATGGGAAGGCGAGCCCAAAGTAGTCTGGGGTTACAGCATCCCACACCTCACCGCCAAGCTCCCACGCCCCCTTCATTCTTTTATTCAGAAGAAGAGCCACACCCTGTTGTTTGGCAGTCTCCTGCCCCGAGTAGAGGACTGTCCACCCTTCATGGTGGCAGGAGCCAGAGCCGGTCCACCAGACCTCCTGAATACCACAGAGATCCAGGCAGTACCAGTCCAACTCCTCACAGAGGAGTGGCAGCCTCTCCTCCACAGTCACTGTTTGAACATTCCTCGTGGCCAGTGACAGTGATTTTTTGTTGTTTGTGGAGGAACTCCGAGGGGAAGGATTCAGTTTCCTGGCTCTGCCAAGTGGTTTGTGGCCAGGATAAGTCGTAGATACCTGTCCCCCAGGGTCTCCGGCAAAAGATTAGTTCGATATTTTGAAACTAGTTTAGTGGTAGTTGAATTGAAGGTGGAGGGTTACCAGCCCCTCGAACCGATCCAGAGCACCCATTTGGCCACTGTGGTGGCTACAAGCGCCATGAGGGGTTTAGCCAATAGGAATTTGCCTTCCCTCCATGGCATTGCTCACATTCACTAAAGTGTTACCGTCTAGCACCACCACAGAGGTAAGGGATTGCTTTGGCCGGACTACCCCACTATACATACACATGCACACACAGAGAGAAGAGAGACAGAGCAGCACACCAGTATTTACCACCGCGTGGCGTCTCCTCCACTACTCATCAGAGGTTCGAGACATGGACGAGTTGAAGGCTGCCAAGCTGATCAAAGGGAAGAGGCCGGAACTGAAAAAGTGGATTGGCAGGAACCCCACGTACCTGCTCGACTACTTGGAGAGCAAGGAGTTGATCTCTCGCGACATATACAATAAGGCCTGCGACATCACGGTGAAAGAGGAGCGTGCCAACTTTTTGATCAACGAGTTCATCGACAGGGACGAGTGCCTCAAGCTCTGGAGGGCTCTCGAAAGCCTACAGGACAAGTACCCCCAGCTGAAGAAGTGGATCTTGGCCTGTGCGTCGACCACACATCACGATTGTGGTAAAGAAATGCAGAGCGAAACACGGCTGCTGTTGCTTTGATATTACAAAAAATACTAATGATGTTATGGCTTCGTTGTATTTGTAAATCACTGGCCTACACTAGAGACAGCATTGTTCATGGCCTTGCCTCTGCACCCATGCTAGACTAGATAACAAATAAAATGACAATGCAAGCAAATACTGCTTTGACAATAATAATCGTAATAATAGTAACACGCATTGTAGTGTTTGGAACTCATTGGCCTCTACACCAGAGACGGCAGACAGCGCTGCCACAGTCGTGGAACCAAAACTTGGGTACCCTTTTTGATAAGACGCACATGGGTGTGAAACATCGCCCTGGTGAGTGAACAAAAAATATCGTCACACGATCGACTCCCGTCCCGGTATCGAAAAGCCGATGAAAGTTTAAGAATAGGTGTGATTTATATACACAACCTTGTCTGGCAATAATAAAAACAAGAGGTGGTGTTAAGATTTAATGCAGACTTTTGATGTCTTTTGCAAGATATCATGAAGTAATGCATTAACCGACACATCATACTTGTGGAAAAACATGCACACATGCTTTGATAATAATAATGTATGGCATTGCCTTTTAAATTGATTGGCCTTCAACACGAAAGACAGTCTTCTGTATGACCTTGTCTCTGCACCCTTAACAGTGTGTTAGTAGACCAGAGAATGCCAAAAGGCGAACAGTACAAAGACAATGCCAGTGGCAAGATGTTAACTACCTCGCCTGGTACGAAGGACGTCGTGGGTACAATGCCAACCCTGACGCCTGCTCTATATTGGGAGTTTGCGTCTCTCTGTCTCTCTCCCCGTGGTGGTCACTGCGCGGATTTCTCTCCAAGTCCTCCAGTTTTCCTACCTACACATTTAGAATCAACGTCGCTTGTTGAAGAGTATTTGACTGCTATACATTTCCACGTGATGAGCCACTTTGTTGAGCCGCTATCATTCGTGATGGCCAGGTCGCTTCTGAAAATTTGTTACACAGCTCAGTAGCGGGGACTTACCTGGTAAAATACAAAATTAGTTTCGTTTTAGTAAAAATTAAGTATGCAAAATAGCCTCGGTTGAGTGAACGGGCAATATCAGGGCTGCACACCCTTTTTAACATTTTGAATGCATTCGTTTGATTTTAATTTCTCTCGTTCAACCTCCAGACGGGAAGCCTGGTCACTCTAATCAGCCCGACTCGACTGCATTGGATCAAGATGAACAACAAATCATGCAGATTTATTCCAAACGACATACTCGTGTCCCTGTAATTACTGGTGAGTTTAGTTTAGTCTATGGGTCTCTATGTATCTATATAGATCTCTATGTGTCTATATGGGTCTCTGTGTGTCTATATGTATCTATATGGGTCTATATTTATTTTTATGGGTCTCTGTGTATCTATATGGGTCTACGTCTCGATGTATCTCTATGGATTTCAAGTATTAGGCTGCTGCTATAAATGTCCACATGATGATGATATCAGCCACTTGGGTGAGCGGCTACAATGTGTGATGGCCAAGTCACTTCTGAAAAAGATCCTAATAGAAAGCTCAGCAGTGGGGTCTTAGACCTGGTACAGTAGTTGCTACGTCAAAAAGTCGGGCACGCGGGTAATCTGCAAGCCAGATAAACCACACTCGTCGATTATAATCCAGAACCTGGGTAGCGAGATACTGGGTAGTGAAACGCTGGGTAGCGAGAGACTGGGTAGCGAGACACTGGGCAGCGAGGCACCTGGTAGCGAGACACTGGGTAGCGAGACACTGGGTAGCGAGACACTGGGTGGTGAGACACTGGTCAGCGAGACACTGGGTAGCGAGACACTGGGTAGCGAGACACTGGGTAGTGAGACACTGGGTTGTTAGACACTGGGTGGTGAGACACTGGGTAGTGAGACACTGGGTAGTGAGACACTGGTAGTGAGACACTGGGTAGCGAGACATTGGGTCATGAGACACTGGGTAGCTAGTCACTGGGTAGCGAGACACTGGGTCATGAGACACTGGGTAGCGAGACACTGGGTGGTGAGACACTGGGTAGTGAGACACTGGGTAGCGAGACACTGGGTGGTGAGAAACTGGGTAGTTCGACACAGGGTAGCGAGACACTGGGTAGTGAGACACTGCGTAGCTAGACACTGTGTAGTGAGACACTGGGTAGCGAGACACTGGGTAGTGAGAGACTGGTTGGTGAGACACTGGGTGGTGAGACACTGGTCAGCGAGACACTCGGTAGCGAGACACTGGGTTGTTAGACACTGGCTCGTGAGACATTGGGTAGTGAGACAATGGATAGTGCGACACTGGATAGTGAGACACTGGGTAGTGAGACACTGCTAGTGAGACACTGGATAGTGAGACACTGGGTAGTGAGACACTGGGTAGTGGGACACTGGGTAGTGAGACACTGCTAGTGAGACACTGGGTAGTGAGACACTGGGTAGTGAGACACTGGGTAGTGAGGCACTGGGTAGTGAGACACTGGGTAGTGAGATACTGGGAAGTGAAGCATTGGGTAGTGAGGCACTGGGTAGTGAGACACTGGTAGTGAGACACTGGGTAGTGAGACACTGGGTAGCGAGACACTGGGTAGTGAGACACTGGGTAGCGAGACACTGGGCTGTTAAACACTGGGTAGTGAGATACTGGATAGTGAGACACTGGTAGTGAGACACTGGGTAGTGAGACACTGGGTAGCAAGACACTGGGTGGTGAGACATTGGGTAGTGAGACACAGGGTAGCGAGACACTGGGTGGTGAGACATTGGGTAGTGAGACACAGGGTAGCGAAATACTGGGTAGTGAGACACTGAGTAGCGAGACACTGGGTAGTGAGACACTGGGTAGTGAGACACTGGGTAGTGAGATACTGGGTTATTAGACACTGGGTAGTGAGACACTGGGTAGCGAGACACTGGTAGTGAGGCACTGGGTAGCGAGACACTGGGTGCTGAGACACTGGGTAGTGACACATTGGGTAGTGAGACACTGGGTAGTCAGACACTGGGTAGTGAGACACTGGGTAGTGAGACACTGGGTAGTGAGACACTGGGTAGCGAGTCACTGGGTAGCGAGACACTGGGTGGTGAGATACTGGGTAGCGAGACACTGGGTGGTGAGACACTGGGTAGTGAGGCACTGGGTAGCGAGACACTGGGTGGTGAGACACTGGGTAGTGAGACACTGGGTAGTGAGACACTCGGTAGCGAGTCACTGGGTAGCGAGACACTGGGTAGTGAGACACTGGGTAGCGAGACACTGGGTGGTGAGACACTGGGTGGTGAGACACTGGGTTGTGAGGCACTGGGTAGCGAGACACTGGATAGCGAGACACTGGTAGTGAGCCACTGGGTAGTGAGACACTGGTAGTGAGACACTGGGTAGCGAGACACTGGGTAGTGAGACACTGGGTAGTGAGACACTCAGTAGCGAGACACTGGGTAGCGAGACACTGGGTGATGAGACACTGGGTAGTGAGACACTGGGTGGTGAGACACTGGGTAGCGAGACACTGGGTAGTGAGACACTGAGTTATTAGACACTGGGTGGTGAGACACTGGGTAGTGAGACACTTGGTAAGGAGATACTGGGTGGTGAGACACTGGGTAGCGAGTCACTGTGTAGCGAGACACTGGGCCATGAGACACTGGGTAGCGAGACACTGGGTGGTGAGACACTGGGTAGTGAGACACTGGGTAGCGAGACATTGGTTGTGAGACTCGACCATAAAGAAGGCTGCTGTCTCTGATATAGACCAATCCGTTTAATAGACAATGCAAGTTTATTATTAGAGCCATGTTTGTTTGCATGTTCACTACAAGCACCGTGTGTGTGGTTAATGCCACTAGTAACTTTATTCCTTGCAAAAAAAGAAGAAATGTCGTCTATTTGGTGTTTGAACATCTTAACACAACTCCTGCTGTATTGCCAGAAAGGGTAAAAAAAAACATGTTTTTACTTGACAAAGCTTTCTAGCTCATCGGATTCTGTTTGTTTATTATCACCACCACCAACCCACCCACCACCACCATCTCCAGACGAGGAGCTGCTGCAGGTCCACGAGACTCTGCGGTCCAACGACGTCATCTCGGACTTCCCGCACGTGATGAGGCTTGCGGGCCTGGCGGATTCCTTAATCGGGGAGGCGAGTGAGAACCACGGACGGAACGTGAACGAGAGGAACTACGCCATGCTGAAGCACTGGAGGGAGAGCCTGGGCCAGCGGGCCACCTACGGCAGGCTGGCTGAGGCCCTGGACAAGGCCAGCTTTAGTAGAACGGCAGGGAGAGTCATGGCGCTGTGCGGCAGCTTCGCTAGGCGGGAGGAAGAGTGGCGGGAGGAGGAGGTGTAGAAGGAGGTGCAGGACATACATAGAGACTTGTAGAGATGCAACAGTAAGAAGTGGAGGAGGAGCAGGAGTAGGAGAAGTTGGTGGTGGAGGTCTTCGTCTTTTAGTTTTTCTCGGTACGCGTCATTGCCATTCGTTTTTCATTTGGAGCTTCAACTCGGCCCATGCAAGCGTCATACTATGATAACTGCACAGGGTAATGCTAAGGGAGCCCCCGATTAATTTTCGCTGCTGCTGCTGATGATGGTGGTGATGATGATGGTGGTGATGGTGGTGATGATGATGATGGTGGTGGTGGTGATGCGGTTTCAGGAAAGGGCGGTCCTGCACAGATGCCATATTTTCTGTCCGTCTGCTACAGCAGAGGTGTAGGGAATTCCCACAAGACATACATCTCTGTTTTATTGACCTGGTCAAGGCCTATGATACCATCAGTAGGCCGGGGCTCTGGGTTGTTCTTCGTGCTTTTGGAGTCCCTGACCCCCTGCTCACGATCATTAAGGACCTTCATGATGTTGAGCGGGCCCGGGTAAAACTACGTGCCCGCTAGACAGAGCCATTCCCTGTACACCTTGGGGTGCGACAGGGATGTCCTCTGGCTCTCACATTATTTAACATCTATTTTGACCACGTAGTTCGTGAAGCCTTCAATAGCTGTACCGGGGGAATCTCCATTTGGTACAGATATAATGGGAGGCTGATCGATGCCCGGGTGCGGTCAAGGGATGGCTCCCTATTGCTCAACCACGTTATGTATGCCAATGATTTGGCAATAGCTGCTCATTCAGAGGAGGAGTTGGAGGCGCTGCTGCTGAGACTGGAGCGTGCCACTAAGAGATGGGGCCTTATCATCAGCCCCACCAAAACTAAGCACCTGCCTGGGTATTTTGTACCATCGGACACTTCACCCCCACAACTCCCAATCGGTGATGGGGCAGTTGTGGAGAGAGTGGAGAGTTTTCCATACCTGGGCAGTGTGCTTATGAACAGTTCCAGTTTAACAGCAGAGGTCTCACTCCGAATCAGTCGAGCGGCAATATCTTTTCATCGGTTGCGTAACGCTGTTTGGAAGTTACCTGGCCTGTCGCTCCGCACTAAGCTTCAGGTCTTCTCGGCCACGGTCATTCCCTCCGTTCTCTACGCTTGTGAAACGTGGACCCCCTTAATGGAACATCTTCGCCGGTTAGAAACATTTAGGCTAGCCTGCCTACGATCCATCCTGGGTTTAACCAGGCTGGATTGTGTGAGGAGCTCACAAATTCTTGAAAGATCTGGGCAAGGTCCCATCGGTGAGTTCCTCCGGCAGGCAAGGCTGCGTTGGCTTGTTCATGTAGTCCGCATTCCCAGCCACCGCATGCCGAAACAGCTTTTGTTCAGCCGTATCGAGGGGGTCAAACGGGCGCGGCACGGGCTAGAGAAGAGATGGAGTGATGTGGTACAGGAGGAGTGGAGCTGAGTGGACTTGCCGATGACTGGTACCAGCGGTGTCAAGATCGGCCTTTGCGGAGGAGGCTCGTGAAGGATGCTATTGGGCAGTTGGAGGCAGTCGCCCTCCAACAACAATGGAGGTCGGAGGAGCGACGCTCACAACAACGAGCGGAGCGCCGGGTGGCTAAAGCACAGCAGGTTGGCACAATAGGGGGCACAGGTGGTGCATCAGCCAGTCATCTCAGTCAGTCGACCCGTGGCACCTGGGTCTGCCCCGTGACCTCCTGCCAGCGGGCATTCGACACTTCATGTGGCCTCAAGGTGCACATGGCCTGGCACAAGCGTCGTGGTGACGTCACCGCCACTTAGTGGCGAATGGCGGTTGTTGTGATGATGGTGGTGATGCTAATGGTGGTGATGGTGGTTGCGGTGATGATGATGGTGGTGGTGGTAAGCGGTGGTGCTGGTGGTGGTTTGTGGCTGTGGAGAGCGGTGGTGGTTAGCAGCGTCTGCTACAACACTAAAGACACCCACGACCTCCTGTATACCAGGCCAGGTAGTTAACATCTCGCCAGGGTCCGGGATCGAACCTATGGCCCTCCGGTATACCAGGCGAGGGAGGTAGCATCTCACAGGGTCCGGGATTGAACGCACGACCTCCTGTGTACCAGGCCAGGTAGTTCACATCTTTGCCAGGGTCCGAGATCGAACCTACGGCCCTCCTGTATACCAGGCGAGGGAGGTAGCAGCGTCTGCTATGAAAAGACAAAAAAGGGCAGAGTTCGATTGCCGCTCAAGGCCACCACCACCACCAAACCAGGCCTCCCCTAGGTCGACTCAGCCCTCAAATGAGTTGTCCCTGCTTACTGCAGTGTAGTAGTGGTAGTGGTCGTTAAACATCGCCACTGTAGAGAGAGACAACAGCCACTTGGGTGAGTGTGTGGGTGACTGTGTGGGTGAGTGTGTTGGTGAGTGTGTGGGTGAGTGTCTGGGTGAGTGTTTGGGTGAGCGAGTGGGTGAGTAAGTGTCTGGGTCAGTGTCTGGATGAGCGAGTGGGTGAGAGAGTGCGCGAGTGAGTGTGGTGCCTCTTTTATTGGAGGAAGAATTCACCCGCTGTGAGTGGCTGGCAGAGGTGCCATCTGTTGAGGAAGTACTGAAGGCAATCCCGAGACTGAGATCAGGAAAGACACCGGGGAGCGATGATCTCCCAAGCGATATGCTTATGAGGGTGTCGTTTGTGCACAGACTGCCCTACATGACATCATAATAACAGTCTGAACCAGTGGAGGAGATCCACAGGAGTGGAAGGATGCCCTGGTGGTCCCCCTCTTTAAAAAGGTGGACCGCACAGACTGTAACAACTACAGGGGCAGCTCACTCCTCAGTATGCCGGAAAAGGTCCTGGCAAGGATTCTTAAACATCGCCTTTCCAGGCACACTGAGGAGAGGCTTGCGGAGCCCCAATCTGGTTTTGGGAAAGGGCGGTCCTGCACAGATGCCATATTTTCTGTCCGTCTCCTACAGCAGAGGTGTAGGGAATTCCAACAAGACCTACACCTCTGCTTTATTGACCTGGTCAAGGCTTATGAAAACATCAGTAAGCCTGGGCTCTGGGTTCTTTGTGCTTTCAGAGTCCCTGACCCGCTGCTCATGATCATTAAGGACCTTCACCATGGTGAGCGGGCCCGGGTAAAACTACATGGCTGGGAATCGGAGCCATTTCCTGTTCTCTGGCTCCCACATTATTTAACATCTATTTCGCCCACGTAGTACGTGAAGCCTTCAATTGCTGTATGGGAGGAATTTCCATGTGGTACAGCTACAATGGGAGGCTGATCGATGCCGAGGTGCGGTCAAAGGATGGCTCCCTATTGCTCAACCATGTTATGTATGCCGATGATCTGGTAATTGCTGCTCACTCAGAGGAGCTGCTGCTGCTGAATCTGGAGCTTGCCACTAAGAGGTGGGGCTTTACCATCAGCCCCACCAAAACTAAGCACCTGCCTGGGTATTTTGTACCATCGGACACTCCACCCCCACAACTCCCAATCGGTGATGGGGCAGTTGTGGAGAGAGTGGAGAGTTTCCCATACCTGGGTAGTGTGCTTATGACTGGCTCCAGTTTAACAGCAGAGGTCTCACTCCGAATCAGTCGAGCGGCAATATTTTTTCATCGGTTGCGTAACGCTGTGTGGAAGCTACCTGGTCTGTCGCTCCGCACTAAGCTTCAGGTCTTCTCGGCCACGGTCATTCCCTCCCTTCTCTACGCTTGCGAAACGTGGACCCCCCTAATGGAACATCTTCGCCGGTTAGAAACATTTAGGCTGGCCTGCCTACGATCCATCCTGGGTTTAACCAGACTGGATTGTGTGAGGAGCTCACAAATCCTTGAAAGATCTGGGCAAGGTCCCATCGGTGAGCTCCTCCGGCGGGCAAGGCTGCGATGGCTGGGTCATGTAGCCCGCATGCCCAGCCAACGCATGCCGAAACAGCTTTTGTTCGGCCGGATTGAGGGGGCTAAGCGGGCGCGGCACGGGCTAGAGAAGAGATGGAGTGATGTGGTTACAGGAGGACGTGGAGCTGAGTGGACTTGCCGATGACTGGTACCAGCGGTGTCAAAATCGACCTCTGTGGAGGAGGCTCGTGAAGGATGCTACTGGGCAGTTGGAGGTAGTCGCCCTCCAACAACAACGGAGGGCGGAGGAGCGACGCTCACAACAACGAGCGGAGCGCCGGGTGGCTAAAGCACAGCAGGTTGGCACAGTAGGGGGCACAGGTGGTGCATCAGCCAGTCATCTCAGTCAGTCGACCCGTGGCACCTGGGTCTGCCCCGTGACCTCCTGCCAGCGGGCGTTCGACATTTCACGTGGCCTCAGGGTGAACATAGCCTGGCACAAGCGTCGTGGTGACGTCACCGCCACTTAGTGGCGAATGGCAGTTGTTGTTGTTGTCATTTATTTAGGTGATATGAGCTTAATCAAGGCATGGTTCTGTCGCCTCCCTCAAACCATCCTGCAATCTAAAGGACACAGATGCTTCAGATTGCCCCGAAGGCGTCCCTCTGTCTGCATTAATTAATCTGGAGGGAGGGGACGAGCCTCCTGTGTCGAGCCCTCCCCCCCGTGTGACATTTTCCGACGCACAAAGGATGTGTTGATGCTTTTAAAGTTAACATTTATTTTTATCATAGTTTGGTACTGTACCACCTGCAGTTATGATTCTGTATGCGACTCAAGGTATGTTGTAGTAGTGTTTCCATCGTGGTGTTTGATTTTTATTTCCAAGAGGAGATCCTCTCTCGAGTGTATGCAAATTCCTATCACGTGCTGCTGGAAGACAAAGGCGGCCGGGAGGTTCTCTTTCTCTCTGGTGACATTTATTTTAGTTGTGTAAGTTTGACCTATTCTGCCTCATCCCTTCTCGACAACCCTCGGTTTAATACTGCACAATTATCATCTTGGCTCACCTTTCCCAAGATTTGTGATTTAACACCGTCATCACGACGCACTTCCTAGGTTTAATTAATTTTCGTCCCCGTCTGAATCCAGGGATCCGTGCTGTTATGCTTGAGTTATTATTTATTTTATTTTATTTTTGATGTCCTGAGTTTAAAAGGTAAGTTTCATGATTGTTGGTATTCATATCCCTTGGTTTTTGCAAGGTTCTGTAACGGCAAGATGTAATGTAATTTAAGGTGAATAACGTTAGTGTTACTATTATGTATGTGAAGTAATAACCCGCTATGTAGATTGGAGTTTGGTTTTTCTTAGTGAGTGTGTGGATTCTTTATGATGTCGACTCATTTGTTGCTAAGTTCTGAACTTTAACCGTTGTATTAATAGCAACGAAGGGTAAAATTGTTTTAGACCTCGCG